CGGGCCTCCTTTCACGTTGCTTCCGATGGACTCGAGTCTCACAGCCGCGTCTGGGATGGCGACAACAAAAAGGAAAAAAATAAAAGGGAAAAAAAAGATAAAAAAAGACGACGAATAAAAAAAATAAAAAGGAGAGAAAAAAAGAGACACTGCTTTCTCCGCGCATTTCTAATGGGAAAACTGTCCGGGATGCTTCCTGCAGCACAATTCCGGTTGCATGTATTTGTATTTCATTGATGGAGTCCTTTGATTCACTTGCACTTCACCCTCATCTTTAGTAGAGAAAAAACAACAAAACAAGACAAAACAAACAAAAGTGACTGGGCTCTTCCTCCTTTAATCCCGGAGGGAAAAGGGAAGAGCGAGATGGAGCCTTTCCCTCCCCGGCTCCCGCCGCTCCCTCGCTCCTGAGGCGAAAAGAGAGGAAAAAAGAAAGGAAAAGAGCATTTACCCCCCAGCACCGCTGTGCACAACGGCGAATTGCAGTGAGAGGTACTAGGTACATGTAAAATATGTTGATACACACGAACAAAGTTTATTTTGGCTATAACTTGTGAATTGATAGTTGACTGTCAAACATTTACATTTTATCTCATAAAGGTGTATCTATTCACGTAACCTTGTGATTTTTTTTTGGTTTGTTTGTTTAAGGACATTATAGCTATGGAGGCCGGGGGCTCGCGGCTCCTACCCCCGGCCGCGAGGGAAAGCTCTTCCACGCGCACTTCGGGGCGGACGGGCTTTGTATCTATTTGTTCTCCATGAAAACAAAATTATTTATATTGACCATATTTTTTCTAGTGTATTTTAAGTTATTTTAAAAAATAAGAAAAAAAAAGAGGAAAAAAAAAGATGCTGTTATTTCATTGCATTTGTTGCCAGTACAATATATTTTGTTTCACTCAGGTTTGCTTCACTTTTGTCAATCCCTTCCCGACGTCACGAGTGTTAATCTAGGGGCGCAGCGCTGCGTTTAAGGCTCGTCGCGGTGTCCCCGCTGCAGGCGACGCTGCGGCGGCTCCCGCCGCTATTAAATTGTCGCGGATTTTCCTCCCTTCCGCGTTTAAACCCGTCCGCGCCGCTCGCGCGTTTCTTGCGCAGAACCCGCGGCCACGACGAGGGGCCGCCCACCCCTGCGCACATTTAGCGGCCGCTTTATATGAGTTTCCCGGGGTTGCGGCTTCATAAAACTTAACGCGACGCTTTAATTCGCCTTATTAATTTAATTCATTGCAATTATAAATTTTAAGAGAGCAGGCGGCGGCGGGAAGCGCGGCAGCACTCGCCTCTTT